ATTAATAATAATAAGTAATATTAATAATATATCTATGAAAACGGTCGGTATATAATTTCAAAACCGAAAAAAAATGTTACACTTTCCTGCCTCCATTCTAATAAGATCCTCATTTTCAATTTCCAGTGGCGCTAAAAAAGCATTGGTGATTGACAGTGTGTGTATGGTTTTCTTTTGGCAAAACAGATCAACTGACCAGGGCCATAAAAAAAGTTACGATACCTACATAAAGGGGACACAAAAAATTAATGGGGCAAAATAAGCACGATAGCGATCATACAGACCTAATGGAGAAGTAGGTGCACTCACTGACCTACGAGACTCCCCCAATAATGGGCAGCCAAAATAAAAGGGCAATGTGCCGAAAAAAAGAATGGGTACAACTAGTACATAAAGAAAACGATCGACGGAGGCTTGAAGGAAGGTTTTGGTGGAGAAATAGGTAAACTTCGCGACCGACTGTGTCTCCACCAGTATTAAGTTTGTTACGATTTAAATTCTTACGCCATCTAGGTATTTCCTTTGTAAATCCATTCAATAAGAAGTAAGTTAGTTTTGCAGTACATTTCTTATTAACCTAGTTCTTTGTTTTGCCGCTTGAGGCCATCCGAATGTTATGGGTTTCTTTTACAATAGTTCTTTGCTTCGCCGCCCGAGGCCGTGTAGATGTTTTCCATGGTATTTCTAATTCTCATCGCTTTCTCTATTGGAGGTTGTACCTACCTGGACAATACCTTCAACATACGCAGTACGCGAATGACATCGCATTTTTATCTAGACCTGCCATTTAATAATAATAATAATAATAATAATAATAATAGTTTATTGTCCTACAGAAAAAGAATCCATTTACAGGACAATTAGCACAAGTTTACATAACAAAATAAATCTTTACACAAATATACCTTGAAATAACAAAGAAAAAGAAAACAATTTTAGCAAGATTGATATTGGCGAACGTCAAGCTATATATGAATTTCTACATTACCGGCAGATTCCACCGCCATTTCAGTGAAACAAACATGTCATTATACGAACATTACCTGTGACTTTACCTACATAGAATTTGTTTACCTGCACTTCGATACATATAGCGTAGACGGTACAACTGAATATCGCGGTAAACGCTGCACTTTGTGACAAAAGCATGAAACTCGGTACACATGTTTATTAGGTCCAAATGAAACTTTCGGCCAGCAGCACCCACCCAAATTTTCGTGTGGGTTCAAAATTTGAACACTTTTGTTCAAAAGGGCGTTCAAGGTTTTAACCTGTTAAAATTGACGAATTTCGGCGTTCTAGGGGGAAAACAGAAATAAAATAGTAGTTTATTTTTCATTGAAGCGAGAATTAACGGTTTCAATTTGAAGACAAAAATTGTGGAAGTGAGAGCAACATTCAAACATGTGTATGGTAACAATGTGGACGTTATTTTATTTATAGAGCGTATGAACGCGGTCTTAAAATGAATTACATTGGCCATCGCTAGATGTCACTATTTCAATGACAAAGCTAAAGTCCCTAGATTGGTAGAGTACCGCAATTGACGCCATTTTGACTCCAACACTTTGGTGGGAAATTTGACAAGACGTCACATTTAATCTAGATAAATCTACAAAAATTTATTTTCGGGTTTTGAACACGGGACCTACCAGCCCCGGAGCACAAGGGTTGCCAGTGCGCTATCGAGGCGATTGTGGTACGGTATTCTTGATTCATAATTAAACCAAATCATCGACCGTTTACCGACTTTCATATACACCATACGTATAAAAAGCCACTTTGTTAAAAATTATTATCATGACCGCTGAAAATTTCCATCAACATATATATGTACTTACTTCACAAACAGATGCTCTTGGAGCTAATTCATCTTTGTTAATAAACTCCATCCACAGTTTAGTTCTCTCTACATTATTCTTATCACAAGGTAACCTAAATAACCTGTAACCACGTTCGCTTCGATTGTTACACCCAGGAACACAACAACCTGGCATTGTTTCAGTTTTTTAAACCAAATAACACGAAACACGTTATCTCTGGCAAACACGAAAACACGATGACGACGAATATCAACAGTGATATCAACGAAAACAGGTTATGATCTGTGGTTATGATATCAACACGATGCCGCGATGCCGTCAGATGTTATCAGCGGCCATTTTACCTCCAAAGGAGTGGACAAATCAATTGCGGTACTCTACCAATCTAGGAACTTTAGACAAAGCTAAAGTCACTAGATATAGAAAGTATCGCAATCATCCGCCATTTTTGGGCAAATTTGCTGCCAACTTAAAAAAATTGACAAATAAAATCTGAAAAGCTGTAATTTTTTATAACCCAGCTTCATAGTACTGTATGTTTTATAAAAATTTATACAGATATCTCCAAACAGGTGGAACAATCCCTAACATTAAAGTTACTAGAATCTGGTAACTTCCGCCATTTTTGGGCAAAAATCATGCGTTCTCTCTCACACGAGCCCAATGAATTGCGGTACTTTCTATATTTAGTGACTTTAGACAAAGTATTGCGTGCAATAACATGTCCACTTCCCGTACTTGTCAAATATTTATTTTTGTATAAAAGGAAGATTTAGTTGTTTCACAGAACACTCCTATCGTATAAAGTCGCTGTCTATTTCACTTCATCAAACACGTTAATGACAAATAGAGTCAAATTCCGAAAACTTGAGACTAGTGCGGCCTCAGGCACACGTTCAGTGTACCATTCAGATACTAAAGATCAGACCACACTGACGGGCTGTGTATCGGAAGTGATGGTTTCATCCTTAATCCAAAAGACGGCGTTACCTGTCATTCTAACCGTTAAACTTGCAGCTACCATCCGAAAGTACGTTAAACCCAATGAATAAAGAATACCAGGAACGAGAATATCAACAATATACGTGCGATCGCAATGGCTTTTGCAAATGGCGGACAGTAGTTTCCTGTTCCAGTGGCGTACCTACCTTACAGTTGTAGAAGGATACAATTTATAAAGAATTTTACACGAAAACAATGTGTCTACTCCGCCTATGACTTTTGTGTAACTAACCTCAAATTACATTCCGATAAAAAATTTGTAAATTTACATGTACTACATAAAAATAATATTGGAATCAATACTTACACATGAAATGTAATTCCCAAACTTTTATTTTTTTCCATTTTGGAGCAACCACAAGCACAACAACTAATCATTATTTTATGTCACTTCAAAAACCACAACAAAAATGAGTCATAAGTGGCTTTTGCGAATGGCCGACTTCCGTCCCACTCTCTCTTGTATACAACCTAATGCTCCTTCCTGGTATTGTTTATTCATTGGTTAAACCGCAGCCCGACCGACGCCATCTTGAGGTACCTGACAGTGTACAGCTGACGGGGATACCAACAGACCACAATTTATCTATCCAGGGATACCAACCTCTGTTGATGGTATTGTATATACAGGGTGTACAATATTATTGTAAAAATAAATTCAAGCTGTGTATTTATAAATTTTATTAAAGATCTTGGAGTCACGACCGTAGCTACCCGCATGCTTATCAAGAACTCTTTCTTGCCAGGGTAGAATTTGAAGAACCTAAAGAATGAAGAAGCAAAAGAGTCTGAACATCCGAACAAATGGAAATCAGAGAAACGAAATAATTTTTTAAAAAACTGTAAATTAGCTTGGAAGAATTTAAAGAATTCAAATGCGATTATCTTAACGGAGCTGGAAGAGGAGAGGGTTCGAATACCTTACAAAACTAAAAAGGGTCTGAAGAATTGTATAAAATGGAAGAATCGGAAAAATTCGAAAAAATTTGGCAAAAATTGGATGCAATAGGGCAGAATTTGAAGAACCTGAAATGAATCTGGAGCATTCGAAGGAATGGAGAAACGACATAGTCCAAAAATCTTGATTAAAGAATTTAAAGTCGAATGAATCTGAAAAATCGGACGTCCGAAGGAACACGTTTTCGGAAATTGTAATTTAACAAAATGGAAACCCGACGGATTGGCGTTTAAAAACTGCCATGCGACTTTTTGCACTGCTCTCCTTATAGAGTTTCTCGATCGCATTTAAGCCAATTAAATTGACAGTAATAATTATTATTTGATGGAAATCTAGTTTGGGCGAGTTCCATTTTTATTTCTACTGAAGGGCGTTCACCTCTCAAGACGAAATGCCGTTGCGTATTTCGCGTATTTACCAGAAATGTTTGTTTGCTTGCTATTCATTCGGCGTACGTCACGCGAGGTGTTAAAATATGTACGACTTTTCGCGGGCGCGCTGTAATTTAGCGTTACGTAAGCGCGTGACCGTGCCAAAAAAAAATAAGGCAACCTTAATTGAGCCACTTTAATTTAATAGTTTATATAGCGAAAGTAACCGATAAACTTTTCTATTGTTACTATGTCGAAATAGATTAATAGAGAATGGAGTTTTAACATATTGAATGGATTAGAAATTTTAAATATGGACGACTTTCGTTAGCGAAATCGTTACCATATGCTGAATGATCTTGTGTAAGGGTGGACGAATAATCGTTTTTTAAAAATAATTTAGTTTGATGAATCAATAATGAAATTATTCATTACTTGGATTAATCGACGCTAACTGATTATCAAATAATCGAAGCATAATGGGAATCTGAGGAATTTTTGAAATTATTCGGAAAGCTAATATTCTTTGGAATGTGAAGCCTTCACTCAACTGTCCGAATTTTCATGATAATGATTTTATGAACTTTTTTGGAAGCGATTTTCACAATTAATATTTTACTATCAAAACATACCATTACCAAAACCTACGTTTTTCAAGATTATTATTCATGTTTCACTGTCAAACGAGGGATTCAATACTGAAAAGTTTACTTTTGCATTTCTCGAAATCGTACGCCAATTTGAACATTTTATCTTTAAATTTCAGTAGCGATTTAGCAAAACCCTCAACCACCTTTTTGTTTTCGTAACACGCGTTAAACGTAATAAAAAATAAACAAAAACTCACTCACCCTCACAAGAACACATGCAAAATGTCGTAGCTCGGTAGTTTACCTGCAAAAAAATAAAAACGTTAAAAAATACATAGACTAGTTTGAAAATACTAACTACTCGCGCCAGTGGCGTGATCTTCCAAACTCATTTTTAAACTTTCAGTACCAAAATCAAATCGTTCAATTCGGATCAGCTATAATAGAACACGCTGTACATTTCCATTTGAACGGTCTAGTGCTCCACGTTGGGCGCCAATTATTGTCGATCGAAAATTGCAACGCCCGCCTCTCGCTAATTATTAAAAACAGTATACTAAATTCTTGTTTACACAACTCCGTTCGCAACATCCTCGTACTTTTCAATTAACGCGCACCATAAAAAGTCCATTAATTACTTTAAGCGTGATAATTTATTAAAACTTCGCAAACGCTTCAGGTTTCTTTTGGGGTTTGCGCCGCCGTTGTATTTAATATAGGGGAGTAATTAATAATATACGTACACGTTTAATAACTGGCTCGAAATTCGACGTGTAATGGGGAACAATATTGCCCCCGTATATTAATAATTAGTTTAATTATGACGTGGAGCGTGCAAGGACGTTTTACGCGACGAAAATTTAGCCGGTTTCCAGGATAATTGCCGTGAGTCCTCGTAATATATTGGACAGTTAAATGTATTTGTGTCTTTCGCTTATAATCCAGTTAGGCTAATTACGTCATAAACAAAAAGAACTGGCACATAAATTATGTGCGAACTTTCCAAAAGGGAAGGAGCTAGTCGATAATCTAATAATCGATTATTTGATAATACATTATTAGAAAAAAACGTACAAAACTATAGGGATGTTAGTAATAGTGAGGGTCGTCTAGAAGAGTTGGTCTATTAATATTAATTAATATTAATTAATATTAATATTAATTAATATTAATATTAATTAATATTAATTAATATTAATATATTATTTATTAGGATTGGCAGAAAACCAGAAATCTTGGAAGCGATTGGAAAACCACCAAAGCAAATTGTGTACACGACATTAAACATTAACTTGGCAGTAACTGCATTAAAATGACAGTAGAGACATTGAAAGATAATAGATGCCTGGAAAGTTTTTCTTCTCGAAAACGAAAAAACCGCACCTAAGACCGAACACCTCATTTTTTCCGAATAAACTAGAGGTCCATAATATGCCGTACCCTAAAATTTTCAAAATTTTCGTTTCTTATTTTGTCGCAGGAACGATAACAGATAGAAGGATCGAACTGGCAACTTTCTAATTTTGTAATAATATTTTCAAATTTACTTCCCCAAGATATACAGTGTGTATATGACTGCCTGGGGTAATCAGAAACCATGAGATACACAGTCGGTTAAATAGAAAAAAAGCGACTCATTTTTGATCGCCCCTTATCAGTTACATGAACCATCAATAACTTAGACATTTTGTCAACCCTACTACACCAAAATGTTACAAATGTAATAACCTCAGTAATAACAAACCTTTTTGATGACTTAAATAATACACAATTTTTAACAATTTTGGTGTAGCAAGCGTTGACAAAATGTCAAAATAATTCATTGATGGTTCCTTTAAATGTCATAATAAAGAATCATTTATTTTTTCTACTCATATGGGTTAATAAATACATTAAACGTTCCAATTTTATGAAGTAAGAGTATAAATTCCTCACATTATTGGATAACAGCAGTGAGTAATAATTAATCACTGGGCGTGCCTTTAAAAAACTCACCGCAGCCAGCCAATGAGAAAGTTTGATAAAAAACAAAGAATCAATCTGTCAAGTTATCTTGTTGTAACTTTTCTTTGTATCGAAACATAGGACTTGCCCAAATCTAAGAATTAAATTTAATAACAGGAAAAACACAAATGCAAATGCAAAATTGTATAATTGAAAATCAATATTAAATTAAATAAAACATCCCACGCTAATTTAGAAAATTAAGTTGCTGAATTGAACTCAAAGGAAAAGATCACTACTACCGACGCAATTCGAATTTGAAAGTGTCAAGATGGATAGCAAAAATGTACGCCGCCAAATATAACAGAAACGGCAAAACAATTATGTTTAAATGTATAGCCGGAAAAGTCTAAACATAAATATGGAAATGTATATAAACATTTCATGGATTGGCAACTCTCAAATGCCATCAGCTCTTTTTCCGAAAATTTTCTTCTCGCTTATTTTCATGAACTAGAATATTTCACTCGGAAATAAGTATCGTCATTATCATTTCGTTACGTTGTTACGCCCAAGGTTACACCATTTTCTCGACCTAAAAGACAACTATTTACAAAAGGATCTTCAAAGTGTAAAAATAGGAAGTGAGGTTAAGTATTCGTACAAATTCTGTTACTTCGTAAGTCGCACATGCCTGTTACTTTGTCGTAGTTTTGGTAGTATCCGCATTATTCAATGTTTAGGCGATTAGCTATAATTACATAGCAGTAAACCCACAATTTAAACGAAAACGATCAAATTTTAAGAAATGAGAAACGAAAGCATGACAACCTTTTGACATCTCGGATATCGGATCTCACTTGTCACAGTATGACCAACTTTAAATATTGACAAAATAACTCTTACCAACCCCAAATGCAATTGGTTTGATAGCAAACGATAAGTTTGAATATTTTCATTAAATTTTGCCAAATATTCGTAGAAAAAGTATAGTATTCTATTCGCATGTAATGGCTATTACTCATTCGAATGAATTACGGCACTCGCCTTCGGCTCGCGCCGCAAACACATTCTCATGAGTAATAGCCACCATTACATGCTCATATACTATATTTCGAGATTTATTTTATAGAATATGTTAAATTGACATTTCAATAGGTTTGAACGAGTAGGCTAAGCCTTCTTTAACCGTAAGGATATAAAGTGATCACGTTAACCGTTAGGGTAGATAAAGTGAAACAGATGACTGTGCATTCTAATTACATCTGTCATTATTATTTCAAATGCACGATATAAAATGACGTTAAGAACATACGACAATTCGGTTTCTATGGAAACGATCGCGACGACAGAACCTGAGCTTGCTATTTTTAACGTCTAAATTAAATTCAGGATTGTCAGAACATAAGATCGTAATTTGTTCTATACTACTCCGGTATTTACCTTACGGACTTGGAAAACTGCAGGAAAACCTAATTCGGAGCAGCCGGCAGAAAGCTCGAAACGGATCTAAGGAGATTCCCATCCCTGTCACAGATGAAAAATTCTTACCTCAGCCCACGTTCGAACACCCGACCTCCGACTTTACAGCCCAACGCTCTACCATTGAACTACAAAGTCGGTGCCATACATCGTTGTATTCGTAACAAAAATCTACCAGGGTTGGCAAAAATCTGGGTTTTGGATGGGGTTTTAGGTATTTGTGTTGGGTTTTTGTGTTTTTCTTGGGTATTTGGGTAATTTTTGGGTATTTGTCGAATTTCCGGAACTCTAACCTCAAATTATAGAAAAATAACATTAATTTTGAACTTAGACTGGTTGTTTTTGGTTAAGTGTTAATAAATAAATAGAAGGAGTGTTTTAGTGTGTTTCTTTTTGATATGTGAATAAAATAATAAAAATGAGCCACTTTAAAAAAGAGAAAAAGTTGTTTTAGGTTGTTAATTATTATTTTTATTTTGTTTTTGTTTCTAATGAAAAAGCCGTTTCGTATTTTATATTTTAATGTACCTGTCTGTTTCCAAGTAAACTACCATTATATTTTGTTATTAAATACTATATAAAAATTATCTCGATTTTGTCTCATTTTGTGTCTCAAATACTTTGGGCTTTTGTATGGGTTTTTGTATAGGTCGTTGGGTGGGTTTTTGGCACAAAAACCCTGTGGGATTTTTAAATGGGGTTTTCGTTTTGCCAACCCTGAAATCTACTCAATAAACTATGTACTTTTTTCCGGTCCATATAAAAATATGAAGTTGATGATGATTTCGCAAACAAGAAACGTGGGCGCCATTTTGTAGAGCTTAAAAAGTGCTTATGAGGAAGTGTTATTTGTTTTTTGATATCTTTTCAAACAAAGCCAGAAAAAATAAAAACGAATATTGTTAACTTCGATTTTTTCGAATATCTTCGAAACTGATCGGAATTTCCACATTTTTAAAACATCATTTTACTACGCCCTAAAATGCGCAATCGACTGTGTATCTCTTAATGGTTTCCGATTTCACCCTGCTGTTCATTCTTATCTTGGTATTAAATTATTTTTAAAAAAATGCTGGTTTTGGTCCTCTCTATCACTGATTTTTTAACATATCATCATATTAAATGCATTTTAACATTGGAAATGTTTACGTTCTCGTATACGGGTACAAAGTTTCATTCAACATTCACTAAGCAGACAACTGCTTAGTCCACTCACACTTTTTCTGAATACGGGTGTTGCAATCAGGGTTTCACTGCTCCTATCCCGTGCAGTTGACTCTGAGGTTCGAAGAATGATCCAACAATCGTAGAGTTCAATCTCACTCTTTACAATCAAAACACAAATCTAACTAAACAATTTACAAAAGCGTGAAACTTACAACGAAAACTAAACAAACAACACTAAGATACAAATTCAAATAAAATAAACCAACTTTGTGCTTATTCCGTAAATAATCCCCCAGATTTATTGTAATAAATTGAAATATTCTGATATACAGGGTGTCTCGTCATTATTATCAACCTTGTTTACACAACAATTTCGTTACGTTGGCAGCGATTTTCAGTAGGGATAATTTAGTTTGTCACTAGAAAGTAGCACTGGTTGCACATACGAACAAGGGAGACAAAACCTATCAAGTGTCGTATATATTAAGATAAAGGTCACGATATTTCCAATTTCCGTTAAGAAATTGAAGTTCATCATCGTCGTCCCAAGAAAATCATAGCCTCGCCGAGAACCAGTATCGGACTAGTCAAGGGCGAAGACAAATGGAGACCATTCGAAAGCCACAGGCCATGGGCATCGACAAGGAATTACAATTCGGTAGTATAGAGTTTATTAATATTTACGGCTTGCGTATTAGGTGTATTTACGAACTGAGTAACAATTTACATGTATTTGATTTATAATTTAATTAAAAGAGCACCTAGCAATTCAAATGCATGGGAATTTTCATAATAAATGTGATACCGCATTATTCAAACTTGCTATTGTAACGTAAATTACCTGGGTTATTCATTTAGACTGTAGATTTACAATACACAAGCTCGAAATCAGTACTCACCAATTCGGCATAGATGTTGAAATTTAAATTAAATACGATTCAATTTGCATATAGGAAGTTCCCGAATAAACACATGATATTTCTCATCCGCCTTCATTCCTTATCGCCGGCGACTAATCCCTTATCGACTTGATGACGACCTGATGGCGTCGCGATGTCGCTCTAGATTCCTAGAATATTCGCTATATTATAGTTATAGTTATTTTTGTTTATTTCAATGTAAGCACAAGTATTGGATGTGTCATAAAAAGTATAATAAAAATTTAGTAGTTACGAACATGTAGCATTTTACAGTACAGGGTGGTAGCTCACCATTAAACTTAATAATAATGCACTGCGCAACAGAGACATGCACTTTCCGCAGACATCACGATAACTGATACACGAATGAACGACAATTGCTTCCCCCACTCATGATATCCCCGCTCAACACCTCTAGAGTGGGGGACAGTCTCGCTGATATTTGATTGGCACTCGTATAAACGGTGTATTATATTTATTGTTTAATTAAAAGGGTCTAGCAATTCAAACGCATGGAAATTTTCATAATAAATGGAACATATATTTAATTACATGATTTATTTACAATTAATTATTAATGAATTTAAAACAGTCCCTATAATATAATATTTAGATTGATTTATATCAAATAATTATTTATTACTCACTTATACTCACATTTATTATTTATTTATTTATGGTATGAGTGGCAATCCCGGGTTAGAATTGAAATTAAACACCATTCAATTTGCCAATATATCACACCAAAGATTTCTGAAAGTTTTCACCCGAATTACTTATCGCTGGTGACCCTGCTGGTGACTAATCCTTTATCGACTTGATGGCGCCCCGATGTCGGTCTAGATTTCCAGAAGTATTAGATATGTAAACAAATGTAACACATAAATATGTAAATATGAAAATATAATAACACCTCCTCCCGAAATTCTTTGGTCGAATAGTACCTACGCTCTCTTTAAGAAAAACTTTTCTTAAGATCACCTTAAGAGTTCTAGGGCAAGTTTGAAAACCATAGAATAGGGATTTAAAATTCAGTTGTCTATTACCATAGAATAGTGGATTATTGTACAATATGTTCGGGCATATACCGTGTTTTACTACTTATTAATGCCAACATTTATTTAAATTGGTTGGGAACTTAAAATAAGACAAAATCATTAAAGGAATAAAAGAAATTCGCGAACCTCTTGATAACACATATTTATATACTGCTATGTGCAATGGAAAACGGTCAGTAAACCGCCCACAATCCAGTTAGCTCAATTGTTTATAACTTTCCCAGGTTAGTCCGCTACTACAAAAAATCTCGATAAGACTTTAATTTTATTAATCTGAAAGACACTTAGTACGAGAACTCTTATCTAGGTCGTAATTTAGGGCCGATTAAACACAACACACAAAATTGGCAGATGAAACAAATTTGTTAGACAAAATTAATCGATAAGTTGAGAAAGAGAGAAGAACAAACGACTTATGAACAAAGTACCCCGCACAAGCGATCGATTGAACAAATTAATTCAAGAAATCATAATTACAACAACAAAAAATAACTGATTTTGCCTCTGGAACTTCACGTTTTTGCATACATTTAAATTTCGATTTAGACCACACTGACTTTGTTTGAATTACAGATGTAAAATTGACTTTTTGATGGTGGAAAACTCCCTTTAAGGAGTACTGAAAAAACCATAAGCGATAAACGCTCCATAAAAACAACACTAAGACTAAACATTCATTTTTTATCACGACCATTTAAATCTCTCTAAATCCTCTCTAACTTTCTTCCGTAAAACTTTACAATTAAACAAGACTGACTGTCGATTAACCGTAATTAGTTGAATGGGTTAGAGTAATAGCCTCCGATTAAGTCGGGATTAAATCCGTTACGTGCGCCCTTAAAAAAACTTTTGACTTTTGACACTAGTCTCGTATTATTAAGACGTCTGGAAAGGACGTAATTAAGTAAAGAAATTGTAATTTTTGGAGGTAGATAACCGAATGTGGTGTGTCGGTTGGAAAAACCTACTTTCCGTTTCATTAATTACAAGGGGAGGGATATTGCCACGCTTTCCTGCAATTACTTTCCCGTAAAAACCGCTACCGAATCCGATTATTTACTGTTCCCGCTTAGAAAAATTGCTGGGCGCTTTCAGTTTGCTGTAGCATTAAACAGTAGCCGCCCATCGCTTGCCATTTAGAATTTCTGGGACCGCCGTTCTCCAGTGGACAACAAAGTTCTAAAGAAGGAATCGTCGGAGGTTGAGATCGAACAGAAGCAGCTATCTTTCCACTTGAGAGAGTGTGTAGGATAACAGAATATCGTTCCGCCGTTCAAAATAAAGTCGTCAAACAATAATTTAATAAAGTCAGTCCATTTTGCGCTTGCATCATGTCTGAATTGCCCCATTTGTGCCAAAGGAAGTGGCACACGTAAAATCTAATTTCGAAAAGAAAAAGTAGCTCTCCTACTTCCTTTCGTCAGAACGAAATTAAATTCGAAAGGCCCCACTTAGTAGAGATCCGGCTTTATTTACTTCAAAGATAAATCTTACTTTTATATGGGCTCTCCCATGTGTATCCGTAATGCTATCGCGGTTTAGTTTTTGAGCGATGAAAACATGTTTACGCAAAAACGACCGTTAAAATCATCGATCCGCTGCTACGTTGATGATAACGCAACGGTCGAATTGGCAGACAGGATAGCTAATATTTACGGGAGGGTGGTTTCAGCAACTGATATCTGCCGTGTAATTTCCCCTTTTATAGGCATGTTTGCCGGTAAATCTCTTCGGACGGGGATGATTTTTTACCTGTGTGGCATTTTTGAAGCGAGGTTAATTGGTCTTAGCTCCAAGAGGCGAAAGAGTGGAAGATATGTTTGTTGGATGGGGGTTGGGAGAATTAAGCCCGAGATGTGTATTCGCGAGGGATAAAAGAAAAGGGAAGGATAATGCGTTGGCGTGTAAATAAAAGAAAAATTAAAGTTTATTTTGGCTTGTCCAAATATTTTACTTGTTCTAAAGTTCAAAGAACTCGTCCCTAAGTAGGTGAACGAAAAGTGCAAGATAACCGAAGAAGGTACACTCACGGGACTTATTAAAATATTTATATACATCGGTTTCCTCACTACGTATTCAACGGGATTATCGTATAAATCCGCCTATCCCGCTTATTGCCGATTTGCACATCTATCTCTATCATTTTGCGCGTTTACCTCTTTTCTTACGCCTATTTTACATTGTACGCGTTCTTTTATTTAGATTCTCCCCGTCAAAACAGATTGGGTGCGAAACAAACACAGATACCGGATACTTTAGTAGGTTTTCACGCGCGAGTCTGAAAGAAAAGGAACTATAACTGAATCCACTAAGATGGAGGATGCCGTGGTTGTAACGGCTTAGTTACATTTCCAAGGGTTGGAGATCCCACTCGTAGAAAATGAATCTCTACGGCACTGGTAAATTTTTACTGTAACAATTAATTTCTTATAATAAAATAATTCATACCACGGCTAGCTCAGTAATGAATAAACTTTTAAAGATTCTTACCTTGCGGAAGGTTGGTTCTTTATCTCCACTTATAATCTGAAAGTTAAAACCTGATGCCTCTGGTTTGATCACTCTCAAGTAAATACTCATAATTTTAATGGTTTAATTTCCTTAAATTTCTCGTAATTTAAAATCTTAACGTAATTCATTCAACGAATACAATTTAAAAATTCAAGTAGATCTCGTGATCACGTTCCAAATGTAATTAATTATGTAGATTTTTACTATTTGTAATTACTCCAACATCTGGTACATTTTCCTACTAAAAAAACGCCTCTGGATGCTCATTAAAAGTTTACGTCACAATTAATGGGCAAACAAATCACCAAAATCTTTGGATTGGGTTCGCTTATCATTCATAAAAAATACACAAATTTGTTCCGTGGGTCGACCTCTTCGAGAATATTAAATTGAGCAAAACATTTTTTAATACAAAATCCCCAAAACGATCGACTCCTATTACACAATGAAAAAAATTGAATTTATCGATGAGTAAACGTTTTCTCTCATTGACAGCTGTTTCCTTCCTTTTAAAAGGTAGCCAACATTTAGAAAATTGAATGGTGGAACGTTTGGTGAAATATAATCGGACTTTTTGTATCGCCTAGTAAAATTGACTGCTCGTTGAAAGTGAATCTCGAAAGATGTATGACAGATTGAATCCGGAAGAAGCTGGGCTTCGATTTCTCGAACTTTAATAGTTTTTTCCAATGTTCGGCAGTACGGAAATGTCCAAAAAATTACCCTTATAACTTATGGTATACTCGAGGGTATACTAGCAAAAGCATGAATTTATTGTCATTAAACTTTTTTACCGGTTGCCGTTTATTGTAAAAATCTATTCACAACCCATACACATAAACAAATGTGTAATAAAAAACAAATGCATTTTTTTAAATAACAATTTATGTTAGCACCCTTATATTTTTTTTCAAGCTGTTCATGATAGGTTAATGGTGAACATATTGAACATGCATTGCGATGAAAACTAAGTGGTTTACAAAATCAAAGTCGAAGCTCTTTTCTGGCGTCACTGTCAAGTGTACTTTTTCTTTACAACTGCCCCAATTCAGTTCAAAATTAATTAAAAGAACTCTATGAATCAATAAATAATAACATTAAAATAAAGTCATCAGGCAAGCAAAAGGAGATAACTAATCCTCCCAGTTAAATTCAATATAAATTAAGTTAGCAGTTCGCATGTTTTGGCAACTTAAATTAAATGACCAATAATTAACATCCGGGCGCATATTCCGAACGGGTTAATTTTAATTAATCGAAATAAAGTGTAATGTAACATTGCAACTCGATTAATTATCTGTCCCTGAATCCCGCCCCACCGATTATATTATAATTATAAAAGCTACTTGCAAATATTATATCTCTAATTCAATTAATTAATATTAATTGAAGAGCATTTACCTTGTAGTGAATTATGCTTAACTACCTCCCGAGCGCTTTCTTTATAAGTTTCTTAAGAACATAAACAATTAGGCATGCTAGAAACGTACATTTTTCGCCTTTATGCCTTTAGTCTCTTAACCGAATTCTGCTTATGCCACACGTCATGGTTTATTCGGAAAAAGGGCACGTTACGCATA